TGGCTGGGTCGGTACACAATACACTACAGATCACTGCTTGTGGTCGTCTGTAAACATTTCAGAACTTAAATTTTTATTTGCAATATATTTTTATATAGGTACCTTTATTAATATAAGAAAAATTTAAAGAGTTAATTATAATATTAAAAGTTTTTCATGAAAATAAAAAATACCAGTGCTATTATATTCATCTGAATACCCACCAAGGGTTAGTAATTGCAGACAGCACAGATTTTTTTTAATCGCTATCGTGTTTTTCTATTTTATGTTCAACTAATGACTGCCACTTGCTTCGTTTGTGTGCATCCCTTGATGATTTCATTGTTGTATTGAACTGTTGTACCTATTATATATAGGTATGAGGTAGCGCCAAGTTCAGGAAAATTCTATTTCAATCGAATATTAATAGCCAAGTCGTTACTCCTACCTGCTTATAGCTATCTGTGTACTAAGCCTCATCAAATTCCGTCTAGCGGTTCCAGCGGAAGGAATAAAAAATATACACAAATACAAACTTTCGCATTTATAATTATAGTGATTAGTACATGTAAACTATGCTGAACTGGCACTCCTTAGCGCCTTCTAAATTAACTTGAATTGCATTTTTCTATTACCTACGTATGTCTGCTGTCATGACATACAATTTCAGTGACTGCAACACAATAGAAAAAATGAGTTTTTTTGTTTCATAATATTATTAAAATAAAATGTACGAGTAGTCTTTAGTAAGTGCACGCTTTTTTTTACATTATGAATGTTCGAAATAGCTAATGAACAAGTTACGCGGAGTCTCGTGACTATTAACTATAAATTAATTAAAAGATTAATCACGCGAGACATTTATCGTTATAGGAAGTAAGAATTATTTACACGGTGTTCAGTGTTTTCCCATGTCGTTGACGCAGGAGTGCATCGGGTCAAAAAGTTCTCCCACAACTCCATGCGTTCCCATTACAACCTCTTATTCGTTATCGCATTATTATTATACGGTATCTAATAGGTGGTATAGTTTGATTCTGTGACATATAATCATGAATTTTTCTATTCGATAAAATAAAGAGTGCAAAAGTGTTGGTGTTAATAAGTACGAAATCAAATCAGTGAAATAGAAATACGAAAATATCAATTATGAAACTATGAGAGAAATATCGTTTGCAAAGAATAAAAAGTTATCACTTTTTGTTGAATTATTGTATTATTTTTTACGAGAGCACAATTTAATACTTGTATAATATGAAATATATAATAAGAGCTTTACAGAAACATACGAATATAACTTTAATATCGTGACGTTGTACGACTATGGAGAAAGGTTAAAACCGACTACATAATGAAGGGCTTATTATTTAGTAGAGGTAAAGTCTAGCCAAGCGTTACCTAATTTCCGGGACTAAATGTCAGTCGACAGGTGAGGGGTGACAAAGGTACCTACGTTTGTTTTATCAACTCGAAAGAGTATTTTAAATCATAGAACCTACAATTGAATTGTATAGTTGTTAAAAGGAGAATAAGACGATAAATTTTGTAAATCTTAATATGTTCGTATTCATAATATTCTGTTATGAAGTTTACTGTTTACCCTGTCTTTGCTCGTGTACGCATCCTAGGTCTAACAGTAGCCTATGTAATATTTTAGTAATATTCTATCTGTGCGCTAAATTTCATCAAAATCTGTCGAGCCGTTTCAGCGTAAAGGGGTAACAAACATATACATAAAAACTTTCACATTCATAATAGTATATTCTGACTGAATAACCCAATGTATTGTCATTGTTTTGCTTGTGAACAATTTACTATTTTACCGTCAAACGTAATACAACCTGAATGAAGTCTGTCGAATTATTTAATATATATGTATTATAAATTATAATATATTTTTGTAGTACCTACTAGCGACTCACTCTCGCTTCGCTCGGGTTCGTCAAAGAATTCTAAGAATCATTTTTTTGGGTTCTAATGCGTTAATTAAAGACCCTTACATGTACAGACAGCAATCACTCACAATTTTATTATATATATATAGATACCTATAGATGTAATGTATGGTTTGAACAATGGATCTGTTAAACGCCTTAGAACATATTAAACTTTTTCATATTCCTACGATAAAAAAGTTTATTCGAATATTGAGAGTTATCGATACTTATCATTGTTGCAAAATAGATGAATAGATAATATGAAATAAAAGTACCTACAGGCGATCTCACACATCTGTTTCTAATGTGACATTTCGAATAGTAATTTCTCAGCGTAACTAAAATGAAATAATTTCTATGTACGTACGTTTTATATTACAAATATTTATATTTACCAATAGGCATAATAAAATCGTGTTGTGGTAAGTAATTAGGTACTTATTCCGTATGGGAAACTGTTTATACAGTCTAATGGATTTTGATGTGAGCGATGAGCAATCTGCAACAATGAGGTTATTTAACGACAGACACTCTGCTATATACTTTCATTATTCTTAAGAAAAATAATGGTTTATATAAAGCGACAGTCTTACTAGCATAAATTATTGTAAGTTGACCTTGTTTGGTATACTAGAAAACGCCATAAACGAGGCCGCGGGCAGTGCAAGTGTGTACATTTCACACGAGATTTCTTATCGTTGTGAGATTAAAGTAAAAATAACTTTAACTGTAATAGAAATCTATAATCTGAAAGTATATTTTTTTTTATATCTATACATATAATAAAATTCTAACTAAGCCGAATCTGTACATTAAATATTTTTTGGAAAATCTTATTGAAATAAACATTATTATCGATAAAGAGGCCGAATCTATAGTTTTTAGAACTTTTGTCTGTCTGTCTTTCTGTCTGTTACCGCATCACAGAAAAACCAGTGGAGCGATTTTGATGAAATTTGTTATGGTAATAGCTGGTTATCCAGGTGAACATATAGGATATTTTTACCACAGGAAAATATCTAATTTCTGAGAAAAAATGTAAAAACTGCAGCTTAACAGCATACTAATCTGTAAAACCTAAGAATTTGGTTTTTGGTCATCTGAACGCGGGCGGAGCCGCGGGCAATGCTAATCTCATATATAAGTTTAAAAAATAATATTTACGTAGGTACTCGTAAGAGATAGAAAAGCCGAAAATTTTAATTCATAAATAAAGTATTTAATAAGTCTCTTTAGTTAATTAGGTACTTACCTAATTTATCAATTAGTATAGGTACTCAATTCATTCACGGAGGCAAATAAATGAAAATATAAGTTAAGAAATATAAGATAACATACAAATATTTATAGTTGATTTATTTATTTATAATAGCGACTCACCCTCTCTTCCCTTGGGGTCGTCACTGGGTGATCCTTTTAATTGACAAACTTTTATATTCATGAACCGATTGAAATAAAACAAATACTAAATGTTAAGTGATGCTTACCAAAACACATTAGTGAAAAAACCGCACCTTATAGATTAATTTTTTTCTGAGATTAACGCGCACAAACGGACAGACAAACAGACAAAAATTCTAATAATCATTTTTTTGGATTTCATTGCGTTAATAAAGACCCCAATTATATATTTTCTCAATTATCTTCCATGTACAGACAGCGATCAATTACACTTTTATTATAAGTACTTATAGATTAAACAAGTATTCCGTAAAAACCAATACAATTCATAGTTATATATATGTACATATTATATAGTAAATGCGAGCGTGCCTACTCTCTCAATCTCAAGTGATATATGTAAGTACATACATACACGTACTTACATCTTAAACTAAGAATTATATATACGTAATGCGCCAAAAAAAATATGTCAAAGTCCTAAATAGTAGGAAAACCACACGTTTTCCTTTTTATGCTATTATTCTCAATTTTGCCATACAGAACGTTGACTTTCTATAAAGAATAAGGGAAATTATTACATAGATAGGTATTAGTCGAGAAAAAACGAGAAGATCATAAAAAAATATAACTACTAAACAACAGTTATGGTAGATTTTTTTTTATTTAGTCACTTAAGAAATAATAGGAAAATGGCATAAATATTTATCCAACGTCTGGTTTACGTACTGATTTTTACGGTTTCATTTATCCAATGTAATTCTCACGAAATCCTTATATAATTTTGGAGCTTTATTTTAGGGTCAACTGAAACTTTACAAGAAATCGTTTATTTTGGTACAATATGTCACGTATCAATATCAAATAAATGAGCTCTTGTCGACATACAATTCACATATAAATAGTACCTACTCCAAATTTACAGAGAAAACAAAACGAGAACGTTAATTTCTTTGATTAAGTGTATTTTATCTCTAATCAATTGTAATTTTAATATGTTTCTTAAGAATTGGAAAAATTAGATCAACAAGCTTCTGATTACGTCGTCCAAACCAAGCTGACAAACAGATTTTTCGCGTGTAAATGTATATTTCCCATGTAGGTAAATACAATATTTCTTGACAATGAATAAAAATTATTATTATTTTGATAATAATAATTATTAAAAGAATTATTAATACGAATATTAATTTCTTTGTTGATTTCTAATACTTCGCATACAGCAGTTTAGAGATATTGAAATGAAAATGTTTTATTTAAAAGCAAGTATAAAAATTTCGCAATATAAGTATTAAATCATTGTAGTTTAGCGCAAAAAACATAAACATATCGAGGATATTAAGCAAGTAGAGCGGACTGTAAACAATACAATAGTCTGCTTGCATATTATTATTTATGGCATTCTTAATTTGCACACGTCGTGTTACGAAAATTGCAACATTCTGATTAAATATGTAATTCCTTCACATAAATCATAACCTACACCAACAATTTCAAGTTACTAAAATAAAATATTAAGACAGTAAAATATACAAATTAGTTCATTATAATATATCCTGACAAAATTTTGCCTAACTTTTTTTCGATGATCTCAACCGGAGGTGTTAAAATAAACCGTTGCTCATAAAGTTTGTGTAAAAAAAATTAGGTCAGCAAATAAACGTTAGATAAAATGTTACTTACTTTATTCAGTATTTCCTGTTTTTCGGCAGGACACAGTTTCAACACACCGTCTTGTCTCGACCCAGAGACCGGGGTTCGGGCAATAAATCGGTTGGAGAGCCTTCTGGCAAAATTGCTTTTGAAATCTTCACATCTCATTATGGACTCTACTGGTCTCCCAAATTCGTCGTCCAAAAAGGAGTCACACGGTTGCGCGAGCATTTTACGCTCAGAACCAGTGCTGGTCTTTTGAAACAAAATTTCATCGGTGAATAAATCAAATCCAACCGCCTTAACTGACAGAAGTCAACGCAACCGTTAACTGTCGATGCGAACAATAAACTAAAGGTGAACCGTCAACCATCACAACTCCGGCCGGCTGCGCCTTGCATCGGTAACACCTGGTTAACAATTTCAGATTTATTAAATTTCAGGTTTACTAATTGTTTACAAATTACTATTTTTATAATTTTCGTTTTATTCTACATATAATTAAATTAGTAGAGAATTTATTTGAAATTAGGATGCTATAAACTGAATATATTAATCTTTTTAACAGCGCCATCTATTATGACATTGCATCATTACATCCACAAAGTTTGATCTTGTTTAGGTGGAGTTTTAAAAGAGAAAGCGATTTAAGCATTCGCCACTAGATGGCTATATGCAATAAACAAGTTAAATATATTATGTTTTTTTAAACATACTTTCTTTAGCTTAAATTATGTTATCGGAAATCCAAATTAAAATCACAACCTGCTTGAACGAGTTCGACTATCAATTACATATCACGGACCCCCTATTATATTTTTCACTCACATGCACCTCTTGCAAGTCGTCGTCGACCGTTGGGGGTCGATATAGCCACTTTAGGTATCAGTAATAAATAATAAAATAATAATAAAAATAGTTTTATTTCTTAATCATCTTACAATTTTATGTTCGAGTCTTCCCAGTAAGTGATCCGAGGATACTTGTGTTGGATCAGTGGTTTAGAGTTTGAATAAAACTATGGAAAAATAAAAATAAATAATATCTTATTCAATTAATAAGTTGTGTCAGAAATAGCTAGGTACTAACTAACTCATTCTTCTTTATTGTATGTCTAATCAATCTTCTTTTATTAAAGTCAATATTATATATTTTAGTTTTGGAAATTTTTCGTAAAATTGTGACACGCGTTGTAAGAGGATGATAAACTTCGATTTTCATTTAAATTTAAGCGGTTGCACCGTAAACTTACCTACCTAGTACCTACCGATGACTTACCCCTTAGGTAATTATAATTCATCCCGATCTTAATTCATGATTTCATGTATAAACTAATTTAACTAACATTACTAGAACGAAATTCAAAATTTTATTATTATTAATATCTGTGAGCAAAGTAAAAACATTTTAATGAAAATAAAATGACAGCATGATGACATATGCACATATTATAAAAAACATGAACGAATTAGAGACTTCGTTCATGATAAAAAATATTACGAACTACAAAATAATAAACTTCTAAAAATGTACCTACTAAGTATTACATAAAATATTACTCCGCTTTGATGATGTTTTGTTAACCCAAATGTACTTTACGTTGTATAACAATAAATAAATTCTACCATCCGTGACAACATTGGCAAGAACTATTTCGATTGATAAAAATGTACTTAATCGGTAAGTATTAATTTTGCTATCCAGCTCTTTTATCGTTCCACTGCTGGGCACGGCCGACCTCACTGCCCAAACTCTTCAAGTCCGACGACGTTGGTCCATTACGCTAATAAATAGGCCTACATCAAAACGTGAAACTTTCAAAACTATTAGGTACATGAAGAAAAGAAAACTTCAATAAATAGCTGTACCTAGCTACCTATCAATAGAAGCATTTTTGTATTTAACATTAAAATAACATTATTTTCTTTGCGTAAACAGATATGGGCAATCCCGAGTTTCCATTCAAATCTGTGCTCTGTAACCAATTTGATTTGGTAGAAATTGTTTTTATATGCGTCGCTTTCACATTCATTTTGATCTTACTGACACAAGCGAATCGCATCATGTCATCTGGATTTATTAATTTGTCGTAACAGCTCCAGGTGAATGTTTTTATTAACCTACTGGATTATTTATACAGGCTATAAATAGTCTAGACTTTAGTGGGTTTGTCTTTATATTTTTTCTAGTTTATCAAATGAATGCACTTTAGGCTTGGCATTATCGATATTTTAAAAGTTTAATACCTCAAGAGAAACAACTATAGATGTACAGATATAGATACAGAGGCCGAATCTATAGTTTTTAGAATTTTTGTCTGTCTGTCTGCCTGTCTTTCTGTCTGTCTGTCTGTCTGTCTGTCTGTCTGTCTGTCTGTTATCGCATCACAGAAAAACCACTGGAGGGATTTTGATGAAATTTGGTATGGTGATAGCTGGTTACCCGAGTCAACATATAGGACTTTTAACCGCGGGAAAATATATCATTTTTGAGAAAAAATACAATAATTCCAATGTAAGAGTATACTAATAATAATTAGTATACTCTTACTTTGCAGTTATTGTATTTTTACCAAAGAATTTGGTTATTGGTCATCTGAACGCGGGCGGAGCCGCGGGTAATGCTAGTAATAAATAAGTATACTTAGGTATGTAGGTATACCTACATACTTAATAGGTAATGTAGCTAGGTACATTCTATTGATTTTCAATTAACTAATTAAAACGAAACATGACGTCAGGCGCCCAAAATTTTAAAAATTCCCAAGAAGGGTTGACGTCAGGCAGGCGGCCGGTTATAAAACTTTTGCCAAATCCTATCAGCAGTACAGAAGATGTACTGCGCCGACCCCAAGTGATTGGGAAATGGGCAGGGAGAGGAAGGTCTCGAGAGGCTTAAAATCACCCCCAACTTCAAGGGGATGAAAATCGGTTCAGTATTTTTGCGTAAAACCGCACACACAAACAAACAGACTTACAAACAAAAATTTTGTTTTAGGTTCTCTATATATTCATGTATTCATATTCTGTACACTATACGTTACACGGTTACAGGAATTGTTTTTAAAAAATATTTCATATACAAATTTTGCTAAGTTATTGTTTTATTATTATTATGTACATTTCAGCCTCTCATAATTTAACTCTAGATCCGCGCCTAAAATATGGACATATCTATACATATAATAAAATTCTAACTAAGTCAAATCTGTACATTAAATATTTTTTGGATAATCTTATTGAAATAGGCGTTATTTTCGATACCAAGGCCGAATCTATAGTTTTTAGAATTTTTGTCTGTCTCTCTGTCTGTCTGTCTGTCTGTTACCGCATCACAGAAAAACTAGTGGACGGATTTTGATGAAATTTGGATGGTCATCGCTGATTATCCGGGTCAACATATAGGATACTTTTTACCGCAGAAAAATATCTCATTTCTGAGAAGAAATACAAAAACTGTACTGTAAGAGTATACTAATATGTAAAACCTAAGAATTTGGTTTTTGGTCATCTGAACGCGGGCGGAGCTGCGGGCAATGCTAGTAGCTTATAAATAAATGACTTTTTATTAAAATCCTCATATTATTTCCTTTTTAATGATGTACATGAATAATAAATACCTATTATACTTATTATTTTTAAAATATGGACGTATATATTTAAAAAAATAATTAAATATAACTACTGACCTAGAATGTTCACAAAATTAAAGATCAAAAGCCTAACTTTTAGTTTGCCTACTATAATTTAAAAAAATGTAAGAAACGTGTATTATCTAATTTACGCCGGTAGTAATTAGCAAAACAAATAACATTACAACACTAATAACCATAACAATGTAACCATCTGAAATTCTTATATAACACTAGGCCAAAATTGTGAAAGAGCTAACGCTTGACGGCCTTTTTTAATAGATGCTTGGTAACGGCCAGTGGTCTACTTACGCTGCTCTTGCTATAGTATAGATACTCTCATTGCGAATGTCTATGATTTACTGCCTAAATATTAGGTAATAAGCTATCGGAGAATCATGTTTTATGTATTACAACATCTTAGAATCATATTTGTAAAAGTTCCTTAAAATAAGCAAATATTATAACAAATATGCTAACGTATTTTATTTTAACTATTCCAGCATGAAACGTGGAAAGCATGTGCTATCAAACCGCAATGACCAAGTTTCTCAACGAGAACGCTTTCTTATCATCTTAGTGGGAATCGCGATGCTCTTCCTAGCTGCAAAGAATTGTCGAGAAATATAAAATCTCATTACTACCATTATTATTTTGCTATTACCTTTTTTGTCTGTCGTGGTCACAATACATTTTACACAAATAACTTTATTAATATAACTAAATAAACGCTACATTAAACTTCCGTTTTTTACATATATGTACCTACTATGTATAGATACATATTATGTAGGTACTTATGTTTTACAATATCTGCGTGTCTGTATGTCTCCGACTGCTTATTACTATGTTTCTCCACCAACTTGTTCTCTTCTTTTTAGTTCACTTTTTACGCAGTTCAGTTTATTATTTTTGTAAATGTTTTTTTACCGAACACATAATCATTAAAAACTTAAAGCATCCATGAAATCTACATAATAACTCATAACATAGGTATACCTAGGTATAACTAAAATAGTAATTTTTAGTTATGCCTATAATATGTTGTTAGTACCTACGTAGGTACCTGCAAAATTCAATACTTCCTTTCAAAAAAATCACCAATCAAGGCCTTTAGGGAGTTAGCCTTTATATTATTTTAAGAGGAAATAAGATTTGTACTTAGTTACAAAAAAATATGTACTTATGTAGATAAGATCATTCAGAAATTATTGTTAATGTTTTATATTAACCCTGGATTTTCCATAATATTTGGGCCACGCTAAGTTAAAGGTGAGGACGGGAATACCTATTATATTTTTTTAATATTATGTAATGTAATATAAGAAACTTGAAGTCAGGTTAAGGTCATTCATATTCACATTTGGGTAAAACGGGTTTTTGTTTGCAGATGCCATGATGTTTACATAACATCGCGACAATGGACGACTGACACAAATTACACACACATTGACAACTTAGTGCAAACTGTAAAGGAATTAATACGTTAAAAAATATATATTTCGAGGATTTACTGCGAATTCCTGCTAAACTACATTTTTGGGAAAAATGAGATAAATAAATGAAAATTCTTATCTTTTCCAACTCTGTATACTGGTAA